AAATGTCTGACAAAAAAGTTTCAATAGTTATAAATCTATCCCTGCTGGGTCAGCCAGTGGAAATAAACTGCTCCTAAAAGCCCTAAGTGTAAATCATTTTCATAAAAAACAAACGTCTTTGCAGCATTTAGCCTCTGGTGTTTGTGGAAACCTGCACATGAAGCAGCACATAGAGTAATTGAGTTGGTAAGTCGATAACACACGTCGTTTCTCACAAAGGCCGTTGTTGAAACTGAGCATCTAAAGTAGTTGTGTTTGGCAGCGTCGTGGCATACTTGATGTGTGCATGCTGTGATGGGATTTTCCTTTTAACAACAAACAAAGTAAGCTGAATCTTATTTAAACATCTCAAGAACTATTTGTTAAAGTTGTGCAATCCATCAGGACGAAATAAAGCAACAGATATTTGAGTCTTCAAGCATAAATTTTAAAAACATATTTACAGTAGTTTCACAACAAATCACCTTTAAAGAGCTGAAAATCTGAGAGCCAACAGAATAACAAGTTTTGGATTATACAGTATTAGAAAACGCTTAAACAAGCTACATGAATATTTGCTCACTGTGAAGCTTCTTCGAGTTCATGTAGGTTTTTTTTCAATATGTGAAGCTCAGCAGATGTTTTCTTTCGTCCATGTGTCTCAAACCACAGCTATATAAAGGCAGGGTAATTACTGGACTGGTCTGAGCGCAGCCTGCCATGCCCATCTTCTGTCGCACACACACACACACACACATATACACAAACAAACAAGACATGGAGACCTATATGTGGCTCACAAAGTTCAGTCCGGTTCAAAGACTGAGCTCAAGATTTGGAGGCAGGAGTGCAAACATGATTATTGTTAAACATGAGATAAGAGGGGAACATGCTTGTTTTTTGTGCATTAAATGTATGTTAGCTTGTACATTGTTCCCAGTTGATGCAAAGCAAAGCCAGTTATTCATGTATACTGTAAAGATATTGTTTTAGTATCAGTCTTATCTTTTTACTGCCTTATTTCTCTCATTGCGATCATTTTGTCTCGGCTGGAATTATTCTTGCTAATTGAAGACATCATCTTCGCGAATTACCGCTCTTAACTTTAAGCTATCATTTAACCATGGAGTCAGACGGGAAGAGCGTTTGTTCTCTTCTCGGGTTATTTCAAGCAGCAGGGGAAACACACTCACTTCTGGTCAGTGCTGTCATTTATAGGACTGTAAAGCACTGATGTGATCTTTGTAAAACTTTCCCACACCAGTGCTGGGCTGTCAGGTATCACCTCAGCAGTTTTCGGTCACCTCCAGGTGTTGTTAATTCACTCTTCCAGTCCTCGGAGGATTACTGACTCCACTTGACTTTGAAGCTGACAGATTTCCAAAACATGCTTTGACTTTAAAGCTTCTGTGTGAGCTGAGGGGGTTTTAATGAGGGGATTTTCAGTTTGACCAGCTATGCAAGACTCAAGTCATAGATGGTCAGCTCCTGTAATCAGGCCATCTATCACACTTTTATACCTGGAGTGTATTTTGGGCTACAGATACCAAAGCAGTATCTTACACACAGATTCAAATGTGAGATTGATGATGAGGCTTCCTCCATTTTTGACCACAGAGGTTATTGGCTATACATTGGTATTCTCTCACACTGTGAGAAGGAAGTGAAGCCTTAAAAGTTTCCTTCAAAGTTTTTTGCCTTGCTGGATTTTTTTCCTCCCATCTTGCCATTTCTTTTTTTTTTTTTTGTTGGGTTCTCATATTACTGATATTCCTTGAATTGTTGGACGCCACAGTCTGGAAGAGTTCACGTGTTGTGTTCGGATTCTCTGTCACCTTTTTCCATCTCTTCACAAAGGGTGAGAGAAACGTTTCCACACTACCGACTGTGTCCACCATTTTTGCTGATGCAGCAACAAATCAAGATGAGCCCTTTAGCTCCCACTTCCCTCCACTCCAGTACTAAACTGCTGAAACAAAATATCCCTTTCACAAGGAAACAATAAGTTGTATTTAGTTGCCTTGAAACCCCAAAGTCAAATCCAGACTCCAGGTCATTTTCTCAATGTCAGTTTTTTCCATGTTTTTACCAAGCCCGAACCTCTGAGCTTGAGAAATGAAGCAGATGCTTTTCAATAACGTGTCAATCCACTTGGCTGGCGGCTCCAGAAGCACCAGAAACCACATACACAGCCATTTAAAAAGGCTCACCTTTACAGCTAAAAACTAGGATGTTCATTTTGATGTACTACAAGTTATAAGTTTGGCAGATTTAAGGCATGGCTGCTGTGACTGAAAGACAACAAAACTGTAGCTGTTAGCAAGGAGGTTAAACACCTGTCTTAACTCCATGTCTTTGCCAGTGGTAGATCAACCAAAAGTCACAGTGATCATGGCATCTCCAGCATGCTTCAAAACCCAGGGTGTCATTAAAACTATGTCCAGGTTTTAAACCAGGGCAGTGAAATCGGTGGAGTTTTGGGTTGGAAAGAAAACCTGCAGCCTCTCTGCCCTCCATGGCACATGATTGTCCACCCCTGTTTTAAACAGTCAGTGGTTTAGCTATAAATTAGCTTTGGGGTGGTTGGGTTTGACCTCTGGATGTCTTGTTCAGTGGATTTTGTTTCTTTTGGACAGAATTTGGTTTTAGTCCAGTACTTATGTTGAGATTTTTACCTGCTAGTTTTAGTGTGACAGGAGCGTCATCTTTTCATCCCCAATGTGGCAATAAAGTTCATCAAACTGCTCCTACACAATAAATAAAGGACTGAAACAAGTCAACAAATGTATTCACTACTACACTAACTACTTCTCTTTCCTCCTTTTGAGCTTTTTTCTTAAACAACTTTAACTTTGACTCATCAAATAAATCACCAAACTCCCTGAATTTGGCTGACAGACCATATGTCCTGTGCTTTTAAGAACAAAGCTTTAGTTTCATCAGACCTGGCTCTTTGTCTGCCAAATGAACCACAACAGAGACACGAAGCACACACAGCTGTTGACTCACAGCACCGCTTTGATTGACGTGACCTAATGATGCGTAATGTAGGTTCATGTGAAGCTCCACGGTCAATGTCACCTATACCACCACAGTAGCACAGCAGAAAATGGAGGACCGATGTTGGTTTGAGCAGGAATGAGACCATCTGTGGGTTGAGACCTTTGGCAAGACCTCTGGAGTGACATTAGGAGAAGAGTTAGAAGATTAAGGAAGAAAGGGAGGAAACTGACTGAGGAAGTGAGCAAGTTAAAGAAAATCTTTCAGTGATAAATCAGTGAATCATTTCACCAATAAATCGAATTTGTTCTCTTTAACTAGTCTAGCCAACCTAAGTGAAAGCCAGACTTCCTTTCAAGGGCAGAAACCTTGAGGAGAACCAGATTTATTGGTGCACAACCATCTGCCACAGCTGGGTGAGCTGAGAAAATGTGAAAGAGTGGGAGAAGGAAGGAAAGAGATAAAAACATAAATTCATTGAGACAGTCCATATAATGTATACATAGCAACAGAAATGGCAATTTCATCTTCTGCCAATCCAGAGGCAGAGCAGCCACATTGTGCAGCATCGGGGTCATCCCAGTCACACGGTGAGAGAAACCTTGATCTCAGATCAGCTTAGAGGCTGACAGATCTCTGACAGGTAGAAGAGCTCTGCCTGTAAATAATAGGGGTTCAGACCTGGGGCACCCTGCTCCTTTCCAAAGTGCTCATTTCACATCTATCACCCTCTCAGTCTGTTGCCTGGGGCGTCTAATCCTTTCAGAGTTGAGATATTTTCTGTGATATTTAATATGAAGTCCCATGTATCTGGACCAAGACATTTCCAGATGGTTGAAAGCAGCACACAGTGGAATTTTTCTGTCACCTCAAAGACTAACATTAACAGCAAAGAAGACCAGCAGATAGATGACATCATTGATTCAACCCAAACATCTGTGGGCCAGACACCGACCCAGACTTAAATAGATACCGCAGGTAGGAGGTGGGCAACCTGTGCTGTATATTTATTCACTCCCTAATAAAAGCAAAGACTCATTTCAAGAAGTTGTGTGCAGTTCAGATCATTTGTGAAAGCATTTGGTCATGTTAGGTGGAGGATGTGTGGCTTTGAAGCGTGAAAACACAATCTAAGATTGGAATGAGGTGTGATGGTTTGAAATGAGAAATATCGGCAACTCTCTGGGGCCGAATCGAAAGGTAAAAAAACAACAACATTAAGAGGAAACATGGATGCATATTGCAGCTGAAAGAGAACACAATTTCATAACCGCAGTTGATTATTGACATCTTCAGTGGTGCATTATGGTGACATCTAAAATGACTTGCAACTTGTGCAACTGGCCACAGTCTAGCCACTGACAACACTGAGATGTGTGAAATATGTGCATGTTCTCTTCTGTATCTAACTGCATGTTTTATAGTCTACACAAACACCTAAACGCCCATTTATTTGTACCTTACGGAGTCATGGTCATTTCAACAGCAGGGGTCTTCACTTTGCATGGTTTATATACACACTACATTTGTGATTATGAGTCCTGTCCTGTGTGTTCATAGTTGGGAAATGGAGCCTACATGTTGCATGATAAAATAGAACTTTTGCAATGTGTACTCAGGACATTATTTACGGTTTTGAATCATCTGCCTGCATGTCTTGAATTCTCATCATATCAGCCAATATCGTCTGTAAGAGGAATCAGGACATAATAGTTAAAGGGTATCTTGGTTCATATCGAGGATCTCAGGTTTCCAGATTCTGACCTATTCCAAAATTGAAGAAACCTTTCAGGGACAAGAGTGTAGCAGCACTTTTAGCTCGGTTTTTGCTTTTTGCACAGAATACTGACTCTATCCTGCAGCCTCAGTCACTTTCACTGAAATACAAGCAAGCAGCATTGTTCAAACTGCCTTCAGATAGATTAAAATACCTGAGCATGTCCTTTCCCCTGGAATGGAGTGACAAGGGACCTCTCTCTGGCCTTGAGTGTCTCTGGGTTTGCAGACACGCCCTAACCACCGGGACTCTCCGAGGAGGAAGAGGAGGAGGAGGAGGAGGAGGAACGGGTGAAAGTGGAGCGGAGGGAAAGAGAGGAAACCTTCCCCTCTCTGTCAGAAGTATGCGGGGCTCGTCCTTTCAGACCTTACGTCAGCCGGCACTCTTTAACAGGCTGTCAGCCGCCGGACACGGACAGAGGTGGTGGGAGATGAAAATGACAGACACGGCACGAGGAGGATGTAGCACACCTGCGGAGGGCTGCGTGACGAGCGTTTAACGCGGGACTCATTCCGGATTCAATGCATTTGCACTTTAACACCAGTGATGAGTTGGCTCCTGTTGTGGATTCTAACTGCAGCCGGGATTCAACAGGTGGGATGGAGGACTGGTTGACTTGTAGTGTGCATGCTTTGTCAAAGAAAGTGAATGATGTGGTGAAAAACAGACATTTGTGATGTCTTTGAACGTTGACTGCCACTTTTGCACAAGGAGAAGCTGTTTTTAACATCAAATGGGTCATTTACAGAACTTTTTTTGTCCGTTTTTAACACCCAAACACCAATTAAAGTATTTAAATCCATTTTTTTTAAAACCACAGTTAATATGTAGGAGCTTTCCTTTTTTCTTTTTTAAGATATGCGTGCTTGATATTTCTGTGATTTCATCCTTCCACGTCTCACCGCCTCCCAACTGTTTCCTATAATGTCATCTTAACCCTAAAAACATCACAATACTGACTAACTGTGGAAAATTCTCTTAACCTGGGACTCAGAGTGACTTATTGAATTATAAATACACTGTTTCCTCTTGTAGTGGACCTGGAGTATCTTTGTCATTAATCATCCTTTAATCTGAGATGGTTTTAGCTGCTTCTCTTCAGCTCAGCTTTAAAACGTTTGTTGCGTTTTGGTGACACCAAGTGGTTGTTTCTGAAACTGCGTTTTATTAGCATGATTAGTCTTTTCCAACAGTGCATAATCTATTTTCCACTTACCTCAGTTATATAAAAACAGCCATGAAGAGAAGTTTTGGAAATTTGATGCTGATGTCAAAAAAGTGGGCCCCAGTTTGTGAATGAATCTCATATTTTGCCAGACTGTAAACTCTTTAGCAACCTTAAACAATCATGTGAAATATATAGAGATATATATTAAGATGATTGCTGCAGTTTTTGTTCTTTTTGCTGCTTTTAGGTGATATCACTCTGTAAAGGAACACCATGGGAGTTCCTTTAAACTAGAACAAGCTGTAAAAAGGATCAGCTTGTCTGTCCTTGCCCTCAGATCAGAGGTCATCTGATCTGAGCTGATGTAAACATAATGGGAAACCAGTCAAACCAGCAGCTCTTATTGTTAACCCATAATAGAGAACACAAGTTTAATTGTCTGACCTCTATCAAAACATGTAAGCTGACAGTGAAGGGTATTGAAAGGGCAGTAATATTAACCTAATCTTATGTAAGATTTTGAGCTCTCCTGGGTAGTTGATGGTTTTACACCTGCTCAGGATTCTTCAAATATCTGTTTTTCTAATTCATTTAGTTTTCTGCCATTCCTGCACCACAATGAAATCCTTTCAAAATGAAATCACGCTGAATTGGACCGCTATAATCTCCTTCTCTGCAAATTAGCCGGATAGCTGCGGGCTAAATTAACTCCTCTGAAGAATGGCTCAGTGGCGCGGTCGTGATTAAAACTCATTCATCTACATTAGCTTTCAACACTGTGTGCAGCAGCTATTAATACAGCCTTAATGCTATTGAAGTGCAGGGAAGGGATCAGGGATGGGGCATATAGGGTGCATAAGGTTGCATAAGAAGATTAAGAAGGTTTCCTCTCAATTAAATGCAGATTAAGTGAGCATGCATGTACATGTACATGTATGCGTATGTGAGGGTTCATCGATCAGTGTGTGCAGCCCCCTGCTGTGCCAAACTCACTGTTATGATTTGACTCCAGCCTCAGTGTAGCAGTGACATGATGTCTCACTGCGTCTTAACTCTACAGGTCTCTCATGTTTTGATTGTTATTTATTGAAGCTGAACATCATCTACATTTTTCAGCTTTGTCTGAGAGGATTTGTGGCAGATACACAAACTTGATTTCATTTTGTCCCACACTAAACAATCATCTGGCATTGTCACAAGCACACCCTGTTCTCAAAACAACCACAATTTAATTTCCACCCTGAACAAGAGGTATTTGTTGTCCGAAAAAAAAAAAGAGTCTCCAGTGAGACTTGTTCATCCTCTGTCCAAAACTAGCCTCCGAGCGCCAGGCCGTTAATGTGGCCCATGTGGCCCGTTTCATGGAGAACATCTGCTTTTAAGAGTTGCAGAGCTCTTTACTGCCCGATCTGTCTCTTTACACCGAGAGTCCAACACACCGAGGAAGGGAGGGAGGCGATGATTAACTTTCATTGGCAGGATTTTGTAACAGTTCAGCACAGTCAGTTGCAGATTATAAACACGATGATGGAAAGCTTCCAGAGTGTTAAACACATACAAGACTTGACATTATTGATTTAATGAGATTAACTCCCTGGGTGTTTCATTCATTTTTACAACCTTATTTAATTTCCTGCACCGCATGACTTGATGTTTGCAGGCTGCCGTGTATTTTACCCATGCAGGCATATAAAGAGTGGTAGTGGTAATAGTGGTAAAAAAAGAGGACTGGATCTGAAAGAATTAAGAGAATTGTACTTTTGAACAAACAACAGAATTTTTTGATTATGATGTTATATTTTCAGTACATTAAAAGTTTAAAATCACTTTTTAGTAAAAATGTCAAATTAAACTGCTTGTATTTGTCCTCAAGCCTTAATTTGCCCACTTTCCTCCCCCAGGCCTACTCCCAGAATTCCACTGCCATGCCGCCTGCCACAGCCTTCACCACCCCAGCTGCAGAATCCTACAACAGGACGCAGTACTGCAAGTGGCCTTGCGAGTGTCCTAAGGTCATCCCCGTCTGTCCTCCAGGCGTGAGCCTCCTCATGGACGGCTGCGACTGCTGCAAGACCTGCGCCCGGCAGGTGGGCGAGGTGTGCAACGAGGCAGACACCTGCGACTACCACAAAGGACTGTACTGTGACTACAGCTCGGACAAGCCTAGGTACGAAAAAGGAGTGTGTGCATGTAAGTGTCACTCTACTGCAATCAACTACAGTTTTCATTCAGCAGGGACAGATTCTGATGTTTGATTTTCACGTGGTGTTCAAGTTCAGTGTCCGTTAGAAGGATGTGTTACCCTGAAAAATACAAAACAATGATGCTTTTTAATACACTCAAGTCTATCTTTGCACTTTATCTGATTTTTGATTGCTGTTTCGGTTGTTCAGTTTCTGTGGTTCAATCACAAAAAAGGACAATAATGTGCCAACAAGATGTTAAATAGATCTACTCTTTTACTCTTGTTAGGCAGAGAGTCTAGACTGATTATTTGTTGTCCTCAAACTTGTTTATATAAACGGAAATAGTCTCTACATTTCATGTGTGAGTGGTAGTTTTTAGCTGTTCAAGATAAGATACAACCAATTTCCTTCCAGGTTAACCACTTCCTCTGTTATGCATGCTATTTTGGCAGCTCATTTCTGTGTATTCAGCTCTTAAAATTTTTAGTAGTGTGTGTGTTCTGGGTTCACTTAAGTTGATATTTAGAAAATGTGGTGATAACTGCCTATCCTCTGCAGTTTTCTCTCTGCGGCTCCCTAACTAATGTGCGCCTGCTTGTCATCCCTCTCTGGCAGATATGGTGGGAACAGGTTGCGAACATGATGGAGTGATCTACCGTAACGGGCAGAGCTTCAGTCCCAGCTGTAAATACCAGTGTGTGTGTGTGAATGGCGCCATTGGTTGCGTGTCACTATGCACGGAGCACCAGCCTCCGCGGGTGTGGTGCCCAACCCCTCGCAGGGTCAAAGTCCGGGGACAGTGCTGTGAGCAGTGGATCTGTGATGAACCCAAAAGAGGGCGCAAGACAGCGCCGCGGCACGCAGTAGAGGGTAGGCTGGTTGATTTAATTTGGTGAATTCTCCTTTTATTTTTTTTATTTCCTCAAAGCACTGACAAATCCCCTCATTTCCTCTCAGCTCTCTGATATGCAGCAAGGTTCACAGTTGAGTCTGAAGACAGCATGCGAGCAAAATCAGAGAGAATGCATGACAGAGAAGAGAAAACACTGAAGTCACTGCCTTTGGTTTAAGGTTCAGGGTGTCTTTTGTGAGATATAGTTAGTGGTGGAGGAGTAAGTTCAGGTCTATCCGCCATGTGAGTGTAATTGGTCAATTACACAGGCCACCTAAGCAACAGGCAGCAAACTTGAAATGTATTGAAGACGGAGGCGCCATTCTGCTTTTACATGACTTTTTAAAACATAGCAAAGGTACAGGATCAAGTTTCTTCACAAAAGTTGACACAAGTTGTGAAACTTGTGTTGGTGAAACTAAATGAAAGTTTGGGACAAAATAATAATCACTACAACATTACTATTGCAAGTGTGAGGCCTATACTGCCTGATTGTATCCACGTGTAGATGCAGCCCTCTCTGAACTGTCCTTATTGGAACTGTTGAATGTCCTGTGCATCTGAATAAAGGCTTTACAAGCTCATGTTTTTAGCGGTATTTCAATAGATGCAGTTGAAGTTCTTGTGATAAATCTATGTGTGCATTTCAAAAAGATTGACTAGCATCAAGAAGTTTTTTTTTGTATTGATGCAGAATTAGTAAAGTAACCCAGGCATGTGTTTGAGCATAAGTATTTGTTTTTTTTGCATTTGTTTTGGAGCCCAAATGAACAAGATTACAAAAGACAAATGCTTGAAAGGTTTTGATTTGTTAGAACTTGTCTTTCTGGAAAAACTTGATAAAAAGTGCTTCACTTTTTTTTGGAAAGTCTTACTTGTTTAATGCAAAAACCAGGTCTCATTTGTTATTTTTGAATTTTCAATAGCTAAGGTTGGATTGAATGGATAGATGACAGCTGTGTCTGCTGTGTACCACTATAGTTATGAAAGAACAGTTTGTTATCTTTGAGGATCATGAGGCTTGGGTGTGTGCAGGAGTGTGTGCTGCGATAAACCAATCCTTTCCTGTGGGAGACCTCTCACTGTTTTCTGGGTCTCTTCCGGTTCCCAGTCATTCAGCCCAGCAGTGCAGTGGAGGGAATAATGGTAAAGAAGATCTTTGTCTTGTGTCAGAATGAAGATCAGGCTTAGATTAGTTGTTCCAAATATTAGATACGATAACATAGATTATGTTCAGTGAAAGGAAAATATTTACTTTCTTACCCAGAATCCCAGACATTTCAAAAATATGCATTTTCACGCCGTGATGATATGAAACAGTGATGCTTAGGGTTTTCCTACTGTCAGAGTCTCTTACAATTATATGAGCTGTCACAAGCTGGTCCTCAGTTAAGTGTAGAGGAAGGGACAAAGAAAGTCCACTTTGATCCTATTACCAGCGATTGGATTACAAACTCTTTCCTATTAGGTGATGTTCAAAACTATTTTGCTTTAGGGGGACAATTACTTTTCTTGTGTAAGCAAGATAATTAAAGCGCTTTAAAGACATGATCTGTTTACCTCTCTCCTCTATGTTGCTCCAGCTCCACCAGCCGAGACCAGGAGCTGGCACAAGAACTGCATTACCCAGACTACCTCATGGAGCCCCTGCTCAAAGACATGCGGCCGCGGTCTGTCCATGAGGATCTCTAACGCTAACAACCAGTGCGAGCTGATCAAAGAGTCTCGCCTCTGCAACCTTCGGCCCTGTGAGGTTGACATCACCAAACACATCAAGGTAGTCATGTAGTCTGATAGTCAAACAACCTGAAAACTGAAGTGGAAAAAGTTCCCTGACTTTGCTCTTTCTTTATCAGCCGGGGAAGAAATGTCTGAACATCTACAGGGAGGATCAGCCCACCAACCTCACCATCTCTGGCTGCACCAGCAAGAAGCAGTACCGGCCCAAATACTGCGGCGTCTGCACTGACGAGCGCTGCTGCATCCCCTACAAGTCCAAAACCATCGACGTAGACTTTGAGTGTCCTAACGGGTCCGGGTTCACCTGGAAGATGATGTGGGTCCAGGCGTGCTTTTGCAACCTCAGCTGCAAAAACCCCAATGACATCTTTGCCGAGCTGGAGAGTTACTATGGTTACTCAGAAGTCATGAACTAACAGAAGGCAATCATGCTCTGTGCCTGCAGAGCCACCCAGACTTCCTCATACCTATTCTTCCTCTGCAGTGTTTGTTGGTTGTGTTTTGTGTGTCTGAGCATAAGGGAATTTCTTATCATCTTTTTTCCTATTGGAAAAATCTGTAAATACAAAATGTAAATGTCTCCCAAGAATGGATTCATCAAGCAAACTGTGCTTTTGTATTTACAAGTATTTGAAGAACTGAGTGTGAAATATCAAAGGCATAATTTATTTATGGAGCTTTTTTTATATATATAATAACACAGCAGCCAAAAAATGTCTGGCTTAAAAGCTCCTGTGAGGAATTTTTGGTTTGTTACGACTTTGGCGCCCCCTATGGACAGAGCAGTCTTTGCATGTCTTGTCTGCTATATACTCATGTTGTCATGTGATTAAAAAAAATTCTCATCCTCTCCTTTTGACATATTAATGTGAATATTCAAAGTGGAAAACAAACTGGGTCTTTCTTAAGCTACTCGGCTACCCGCTTACAGGCATCACTCGTCTTATTGCTGATGCTCTCATTTGCCTTCTTATGTCATAAAAAGGCATCAAGGGGAGTTTCATTTGCATCCAAAATTTCCTCACAGGAGCTTCAGACTCACAAGTAGCTCATGCTTTTTGTATATTTCCTTCATGTCATAAAATGTGTTGTGTAATTGCTGTTCAAAAGGCAAGAAAGGACTTAAGAGCCAAAGACCAATCCTTATTCTGGGACCACATTTCTGTATGCAATAAAAACATAACAATGGATTATCAGTTACGAGTTTTTTTTATTGTCATTTTTTTAATAAATACAAACTGTTATGTCACTTTAATGCTTCTCTACAGCATTAGACAGTTGTGAATCGCATCTTTACAAAGCCGTATAGGTCTTCTACAAAGCAGACTGTTGCTGTAGTGCAAGTAAGATACAGGAGCAGAAGGTATCAGGTCAGCTACTACAGCTAGCCTCATGTTAACATGTGGAGCTATCACATCGCCCACTGATAATCCCACAAACTGCATGGGAGCATTGCACCTACAGAGTGAACATTTCCATGGCACGTCTTTGTTCCTTTGTTCTTGATTGCATAGAAATCATGGTTATAAAAAACAGTTTTTTTGTCTGAAGCCGTGATCTTCAAATAAAGCACAGGATGTTAAAGAGTTTGAATTTGTGTTTCAGGATGGTTTCTGATTTGCACACAGTCTCATTGGAATGAAGTGAAAAAATTATCATTTGATTCTTGAAAAGTTTAACGAAGAGTGACTTGAAATTTTTGAGGTTGTTTTGGATGACATTGGCAGAATTTAGCACTGTTATTTTCTGTATATACACGATATATCCGAAGTCTGTCCCTTAATTTTTAAAGTTTCATGGCCAACCGCCACTTCTGCCTTTTCAAGTGCCTCTCCATCCTCTCTCAGCGTCTACAAATCTGCTCCTACGTACAAAGGACAAAACTTCAAACATTGAAAATAAAGAGTAAATGATCAAAAAAATTACAGAGACAACATGGAACAGTCATTTACAGTCAGGTACATTTCGAGAAAGCTGTGTCAATGTGGTCAAAATGGATACAAACAGGGTGAGGGAGCACAGAAATGGAAATTAAAACAGATTTTTATACGTATGAGAGATTATGAGAGATATAATGTACAAGCTGGTGTACTCGTAGCCACAGCTGTCTTTGACATTCTCTGCTTCGGTGTTTCCAGGTGCTGCGCTGCCTCTAACAACACACTCATGTGAAAGGGAGAAGCAATTTCCTGTTCAGGGATATGTTTGATTCTTAAAATGACAAAAGGAGCATCTCAGCTGCAATGAAAAGTCTGCAGGTGAGAGTCCACCTGCATTTCTTCCATCCCAGGTTTCCTTCGCCAACTTTTTGTGTGTGTGAGTGTGAGTTAGAGGCAGCGCAGCACGAACCGAAGGAACCTGCACAGGTTTTTTTCTGGGGGGGTCGGGGGCGTCTGGAGAGTTGAGGTTTCACTTAGCAGGACACTTCAGTGGACTTGGGAACGGCTTGGTCCACGTTGCTGTTGGCCGCGCCGTCCATGGAGCCCTCCGTGTGGGAGCGAGTGCGCTGGTTGTCGGCCGTGTGGGTGCGGCTGCGGCCCTCGTTGGTGTGTGAGCGGGAGCGGTTGCCCTCATGAGTGTGGGAGCGTGAGCGGTTGCCGTCAAAGGAGGTGACGCTGGAGCCGGAGGCAGTGCGGGAGCGGACCAGGCGGGTCATGCTGGCAGAGGGCACTGAGGAAAGAAGAAGATTGATCTTATTATTGATTTTCATCATTGATCGTCAAATAGTTACACAGTTATGCTTGGAGCTGAGGGATCTGCTTTGAAAGTGCGCCACAGTGACACAGAAACAACTGCTTTTATCTTTCGTAAAGTTTTGAACGTATTTTTATTTCTAGAAAATGAGTAAAATCATCGTTCCCACAGCTGTAATCGCACACTCTGTTCCTCTGCGGAACAAAAACATCAGGATTTGACGTTGAACTGAGTGCAAGCTATACCCCAGTGAGCGCAGGAGTCATTTATTACCCAACACTAGAGGGGGAAGAGGAGCACACCACCCCAAAGTTCTTTATCTCACCACAAGATGGCAGTAAACGCATCTTTTAAAACCTGGATGCCATATTTGCAGTCTTACTGAGATATTGCCTTTTTTTCTGGATATCCTGCATGTTTGGAGTACTTACTGTATCCCATGCCCTGAATGAAGTACTTGAAAGCTTCCGTCAGTTTTGCAGGCTGCAGAGTAGAAAGAAAAAAACAGAAAAATTGTTGATAATTAGTCCTCCTGTCATCAATTATCACACTTGTTTACATAACACTGACAGACTCAATTTGTCACCTGGCAGATTACCACCCAGGCTCTGAGATATGACAGCTGCTGTGAGCAGGATTACAACCTCACAACTGAGGTTCATGTCTGCTACTTGCTAATGCTCTTAAGTGCAACCTCCTTCAGCCATCCAGCCTGATAATAAAACCCTGTCTGCTGAGCTCCATGGCATGACCTCTGTCAAGTTTCACACACTTATACACACCTGGTCAACCTGGGGCATGCCTCCACAGTCAGCCATCTGGAGAGAGGAGGGGGAAAAGCACTATTAGCATTTAGCGTGTTTGCACTTTTACATTCACACAATAGTAGACACACGCCATTACACCCTCAATTTACACTCGACGTGTCCCATTTGAACACGTTGCCCCCGCTGACTCTGGTCCGTGTTCTGTCAGACCCTGAACATTTGACCCCAATAAATGGCACCTATTTTAGCTCTGACAGGACCTATTTGTTTTCAGATGTGGATCATAAATTTGCAACAGGTACAAAAAAAAAGTGGGTCAGCTGCAGCAGACTGCAGAGGCCTCATGCGAACGCACGGACGCGTCCAGCTTTCAGAACAACTGGTTAATAAGTCACCAGGTAATTGCTGAGTCACTGGAATCTTATCAGCTGATGCGTTTCCGTGAAGGCTATTATAATCTGAACAAGGATGTGGGGCGGGAGGTGGAGGAGAAAAAAGGCCGTTTACCTTCAGCAGGGTTGTCTTTGTTGGGTCCAGCTTGGTGTTGCACTCAACCTGAGGGCAGAAATGGCGACATTGAGCAAAATATTGTGACACTCAAACTGATATCTGGACTTGAGTTGTTTTTTTGCTGCTTAGTCACGTAAACTTGATGAATCTAAGCTGCAAATTTTAAAGATTTTCTAGCCTGGAACTGAGCACGAAAAACAATAGGTGGATTGTTACAAGTGCTGTGTTTTCTATCAGGTTTGTTGTATTTATTCTCTTTTTCTTATCAATATTGATGAAGAACATGAGTTACATTCTTATATTCACACCAAAAAAGACATTAGTGGAAAAAAATGGAGGCAATACAACAAGTGAAGATATTTTGAAAGCTTATTGAGAGCATAACTTTGCATTTACAAGTATATGTAAAAAGAAAAAGAGTCAAAAACATTACTCAGTTTGGATTTTCTGAGGGATTTGTGGCGCCTCTCTGATCTAAAAGATCAAAACGTCTCTGCGTCACTTGATTTCTGTTCCCAACTTTGTTCTCGCCTCAGGGTTTAATCTTGCATATCTTTCGGGCTTAAATGATTGACTGACGTAAATGGAAAACACATTTCACCCATGTTTAACCACGGTGGGGAGTCTAATCGTTAGCATCAAAGCCAGCTGAACTCACCACAGCATCCACTGCAGGAGAGCTGTCGCCAACCACCAGCAGAGATGGGCACCTGGATTAGAGAAATGTTGAGTTACAGAGTGGCCTGGGCTAAATATTCACTTGTAAAATGTAATATTCAGCATTTGGTGTTTGTTGCTCGCTGACAACTTACTTCAGGGTTCTGACGTTGCTTCCAGGGACCGGCCTCTCAACCTCCAGATCCCTCCGGCTGAAGAAAGAGACAGAAAAGTTTAACAATGTCCAGATTTTTGTCGATTAAATAGTTTAGATTTAACAGCCAGGTTACACTATACTCAGTGAATCTAAATCCTAGAGAGCCTCGCTACAAATCCCCCCTACTCTCTCTCTCTTACCTTTCATAAGACTTAACAAAGAGGTGCAGGTTAAACTGGTTCATGTCATTGACGATGTGGTGGCGGTATGTTCCCACCAGGTCCTGGTTGTGGTGGATTTCCTCCTGTAGGGACCAGATGAAAATCAGTACAACTCACCGAAGAATAAATTCCTCATATAGCTGCGGGGAAACATTTCGAGTTCCAGTGTGAGGAGAAGAGAGAATAATCTGAGTATGTACCTTTCCAAAAAGGTGGGAGATGATCACGTCAGGTTCAGCATGGGTCCACCCGTGGATCTAAAATAAAATACAAAAACTTAATTTGCATATTTATCCTTTGCTAGCTTCTAGAGAAGAAACATTTAAAGGGAACTTCTGCAAAACTGTGCAGATGTTTGACTTATTAGCGTGCGTTACCTTGTGCGCAGCCCAGTCCATCCATCCCTCAGCACATGGGTTGATGTTGATAAGCAACAGTCCCTCAACCATGTTCGGGTAATCCAGCTGAGACACACAAAAGATGAAATATTTACACACATCGCTTGCAAATAATTAATAGAAGCAACTGTTTTAGTTTGTATTCATTCTTCTTTAAAAGCATATTCTGTAATTTCCTGTTATTTTTGCAAATCTGGGCCAGGACAGGTTTTAAATATGACACATTTCTTCTTCATGAAGTGCATTTAAATTTGTTTTTGAGCTGCTGCAAATAGTTAAATGCTGCATCTCTGTCAGCCTTGTGTCAACACAGTGAGACTGCCCGCTGAGCACAGTGTTAGTGTTGAACTGATCTGGAACATTCCTGAGACTTTTATGGCTCAGCAGGCTCGAGCAATAAGCTGCACTTTTTTGCCAAAAACAGCAATAAGAAGAAACACTTCTGTTAATCCTTAAATGATTAAAAGTTATAATTATTAAGCCCGAGTGAGAGAGAGAGAGAGAGAGAGTGGGGCAGGAGGGAGACTTACAGCAAATCTGGTCAGAATGTAGGCCCCTGCTCCAATGCCCATGCCAATAACACTCTTCAGCCTGTGGGCAGACAGACATGGAAACTGTTAGAACAACAGGTTAGAAGAGATCTTGATTTAAAAATGTTGAAAGTCAGTGTGAAACTGCAGCTCAGCTTACCCAAAGTGCTTCAACACATGAGGGAGGGTCTCAGCGACCTGGTCCATAGATGGGTATTCGTATCTAGGAAACAAAACACACATTGTTACGACTCAATTTAACAACTACTGCCCTACTGCCCTATCTAATCATCATTTTTATTACTCTAATATATATCTCTATCTGCCTCCACATCATGTTCTGTTCAGGTAGCATTAACAGGAGGCAAAGTTCAGCCATCAAGTACACAGATTAAGTCAAAGAAGATAAAGACCTTTACCTGCAGTACACTCAACAAATTAGGTCAACCTAAGAACATCCGTGATCTATCTGCCCAGCCAAAGGTCACAGACGGCTTGACATACATCCAAGTGCCTCTATATGTGTTTGTGTTTGGCTCACCCAGTGGAAAAGGTGTTAGCTCCCTCATGCTGCCCGGGGGCGTCGACGTGACACACGGCAAAGTGCTGCATGATCTCGGACATGTCTTCATGGCTGAAGAGCGTGTTCCAGCAGGTTTTGTCTGGAAAAAAAAGAAGGTGGAGGTGGATGAGTGATTCTTGGCAGATACGCAAGAACGACCTAAAATAACCCGAATGTGAGCCATGCCGAGTTTGTTTTTGTAGGTGCAGTGGGTCATCCTCTCGGAAGATTTAATACCATTATTAAAATGTGTCAGGAAGCTAAGAGGAGTTTAAAGACGGTACAGCAGGTCTATTTAAAAACTCTGGCATGCTAACGGGCCAGACATTTACACTCAGACATGTAAGATCTGTGAAACGGAAGATTCAAACGAGATATTAATGCACTTTTTTTTCCTCCTAATTAACCATCCTAAATCTTTTTCTCTGAGCAACAACAGAGGTATATTACAACTCGGCCAAGCAGTGTACAGACAAAATAACAAAATCATTAAATGGCCTTGTTCAGGTTACATTCAAACTCACTGCCAACCGTTATCAGGCCAATTATATCGGTCATCTGCTGCCCTCCAATAGGCTTAGTTTGAGTTTAAACAACTTCTTGGGAAGCTAATGTGTAGGGATTAAAACACGTAGACCCTTGGCTATAACAGCAGATGTTTTTTAACCTGTGTTGACCTGAATTAGGAGGGAAGCTTACGGTTCAGTCCAATGTCATGGTAGGTGAGGATCACTGGTCTGTCACCCTTGGGAACCCCCTTCATCGTACAACGAACCCTTCCATAAGGAGTCTCCACATCATGCTCCTGTGGAGGCAAAGAGAGACCAAATTTAACCCAAAATGCCAGGATAATTTTTTTTTTACCAGATTAAAAATTAAAAAGAAGAGAAAATGGTGCTCCCCTGCACAGTGGACTTATTCCTCAGACCTGAATACAGTTTCTACCAGCACAATTGAAATGCTTTGGCTTAAAAAAAAACAAAAGTTTTCCTGTTGCCAAATCTAATAACAGAAATCCTCTTAACGCTGTAAGAATTCAGAGTTTTTCTATCTAATTTTTCCATTAAAATTACGAAACAGCCTCAAGCACCTTCAGGCTTTTCCAGTGTCTGACATCTGTAAACTTCCTTCCATGAGCAACAAAACAGCGCATCACAAATATATAACAATCTCACACCTGCACCAACAAACCTGCAGTAAAATTCTCATCACAAACACGTCAGTAAAGCCCTCAAGTGTACTCACGCTGACTTCAATCTCAGCAACAATCATCTCCACATCAGAATCTTCCAGAACCATGTTTGCAGGAGACGAGTCCAATGCTGCTCGCTTCTGAACAAGTCTTTCTCCCTGAGCTATAAATCCAAATGTTGGTAAGCCGCTGAAATTGTTTAGCCTTGCGCTGAGAGCTCGGTTTTATACCCCCCCACTGCTTACCAGCTGGCTTAAGCCTCTGGCCTCCCATGGTGCCTTGCAGGCTGGTCAAAACAAGCTAACTCTGGCTGGAGAGATCTCTAAATTGGATCAGCCAAAGTCAGACAGAAGGCCATTGGCTGCTGTGAAGTTTACATTAGAAAGAATGGGAGTGTTACCAGTGGGGGGCATGCTGCATGAATGGGCTGCAGAGACAGAAATATAAATATGGAGGAATTTTCAAATGAAGGGTTTCAGTTTTGATCCAAAATTGAAGTATAAACCAAATTCTGTTCCCTCAAACACGCGCCCCATGTACAGATGCTATGGTCGCCAGCCATAACTATTTACTGCGTGTTTTGCCCTTACTCTCTACTCCCAATATTTCCTGCCTTTCTTTACATGTCCTACAAAAAAAAAAAGCCAAAATCCCCAAAAGAAAACTTTAAAAAATTCCAGTTTCCTATAAATAAAACAATAAACAGCTGGTCACAGACGGATTTATTTGAAATATTGTTAAAAAGGAGATAGAAAGTTAAAACAGAACCTCAGATCACCAAAGTTTTCTACTTACTGAAATTTATATTTTATGTGTAACACCAATTTTATTTTATTTTAAAAAAAAAACACTTCTCGTCTTATTTTCCACTAACGCTCTAAAATAGACTGTTTGAGCGGTGTCTAAACAAAAATAAAAACCTTTCCCATGCTGACCTGTACCTGTTAGGTCATTTTCAAACCAGTTCTAGCTGCTTCAGTTCTACTCTGGGATCTCCAGGAACATCCAATTGGACGTAACAGACACGTAAACAACCAAGGATTCCCCCTCGCTCCACCCATTCTGCGTATTCACCAGACACACAACAACAACCATGTGGGGGAAAAAAGCCTAGATAATCCTGCAATGAGATAAGTGTGGGTGTGTAATTCCATGTCCGTTTTTTAAAATACCCTGTATATGTTTTTATATGTTTATATATGTAAGAAAAGCAAAAGGAGAGGAGAGTGTTCTTCGACTAATCCTCTGAAGTGCCAATGAAAAGTCAGACACTTATCCTACATCCTTCAGGTCACCTCACTTGGCAGAGTTTTAAAGGCAGTATTAGCTCGTTGATGGAACTGAGTCAGCTGAAAGGTCAGATCAGATGTTACACACCTAAAAAAGGGTCAGTACACTCTTTGGCAAGGAGGAGGAAAAAGCTCCACATACTGACGCAGTACTTTCAAGACAACTTTAGACCTAATCTTAATCTTTCTTTTAGAACAGAAAATGAACCTCTTTAGTGAGTTTGTGCAGGTTTGAGGTTTGGACGTGCTGGTAGGCTGCTTGTCTACTTAACACAGTGTTCACTTTAGTTCAACTAGTTTGCCCCTTTCAATTCAACAAGAAGGAAAACTTCAGCTTGAATCAGAACTGTAACTACAAAGCACCATGGGGGTCTTCTTCCCTCATGTTGGATTAGACAACCCAAGGAAATTCCAGAGTTTTAAATATTCTATCTCTAAAAAATAGAGTGTTATCTACTTCTAATGGACTAAAAGAATACTGGATTACAACAACCACAGAGCCCAGCATCTACCTGCAAGAACTGGGCTTTAAGAGTGGAAGAGCTGTCCAAGGTGCTGACTGACCCCCAGGCTAAACAGCACCCTCATACCAACCACCATGTGTATGTTTATGTTAGTTTGTGAGGGATTCAAAGAGCTCTGATCCATCTGCTCTTATGTTATATAACAAACCCTGATAGAGGTGTGCCACCCTTTTCATAGGCAGACTAAACCAGAGGAGGCCAGGTTTAAGTTCAGCCTTCATAAAATCACAGCGGATGAAGGCCAACGCCTAAATGTGAGTCAGTTATATCTCCACATTAACCACTAGATGGTACCAAGTAATAAAAAAATGGGGTTAAAAAGAAGAAGTTTTCAGCTGGGATTGAAGGGATTGTTGTGTCTGTGAACGTACCTTGACAACCAGCTGCTGCACAGCCTCTCTCAGGCCCTACAAGGAAAAAACAGACAGTATTAACCTAATGCAATTATAGTGCAACATGCTATAATCAAATATCCTGGTGATGTTATCTTCTTTGTGAATGTGTCTGCCATTTTTATAACCCCTGATTTTCTGTGTTACTGGGTGGGGCCTTTGAGACAAAGGTCAGACATTATAAACCTATTCAGGTCAGCTCAGTTCGGTGAGTCCAAATCGTGTTGAACAATTTTGGGAAGAACAAAAGAAAAGTGTCCGATTTATCTGGAATTGATTGCGTGAGTTTTATATCTAATCTAATAACGATAACAGCGCATGTGTTGAGGTTCATTTTGATGTTACAGAATCCTGAATGCAGAAGTACAGCTGAGCTGCGAACGCACTTTGAAACCACACAAGCAGCTTGTCAGTTATGAATCATATTAATCGGAGTATTACAAAACTCAAGCATGTCAAAACACATCTCTTTTAAAACACTATTTGATTTGGCCAAGATCAGCAAACATACCGGCAGCTCCTTGTCGACCAGCAGGGGTTTGGACTCAACAACTTGGATGTCATCCATTTCGAAGAGCTGTAGAAGAGCCTGGAAGTCGGAGAGGACAGAAAAGTTAGTCAGGCGGCGATCTGGAGAAAGAGATACTCTGGATTACACTCCAGAAAATTCTTAGGTGTGCTCGTCTAGGAGAGCTATGATCAGAAGAGGTGTGGCTCAGGTTGGATAATAAAATGACAGACTGTTTGAACCCGAGGTGGGCGTGTTTCTTATCAACACAAAGGCAATAACAGGGGACCTGAGCAACAGACTCCAACACACTTTTTGTACACACACACCCAACAACAGTACATGCAGAGGCTGGCGCTGTGATCTGCTCCGACATGCGACCACATAATGGAGCCGCGCCTGAACCTCCCACAAGAAAGAAAGTCTCATGAACTCCCTGAGACTATCACTGAAACTTAAAGCAGCCCCTCCCTGCCGATAATTCAGACTATATGTTTATTTCATCAGCAGAAGAACACAATAAAGAGGGGCAAAAACAAACAGAGAGAGGGAGAGCGCGCTGAAAAGAGAAGGGATCATGATGCGGGCTTTGAGGCCGCGACTCTGCATGCAAATGAAATCAGCCAGTTTAGAGGGCTCTTTGTCCACTGGCACCAGTGGCCCCTGAGAGCTGGCCTTCACTGACCCAGACACAGGAAGCAACGGACACCCTGTTTCCCATCGATACATCCCAGCCTCTTTTCATGCCTTTGCTTGCTTTCTCACTCTCTCTGTTCTGTCTCTTTTCTCAGTTTGTCTTGGTTTCTACTTGGTTGCAGTCCCTATGTTCGCTCCTTCCAGACTTTTTCCATCTGTCCCGTGCTTTCTTTGTCTTAATACGAAAACCTCATCACATCACGGTGGTCTTGCAAGAAGGAAGTGATTCACTGCATTTTAAACTCGCCCATGAGACACACACAAACAGACACAAACAGACACACACAGACACATGTTCCCCTGACTTCGAGAGCAGGGAGCTGACTGGAGCAAGCCGGATCTCACAATAGGACAGAGGAAGAGGAGTATCAAACAACAGGTTCATTTTTCTGCTGAGGCCTCCAAAAACATGGCCGCCACCACACTGCAGGGGCTTTGTCAGGGAGGGTGAGAAGTCAGCCCCCGGCGAGATTCCAGAGAAATGACAGAGGAGTTCACATCATGATCAAAAAAGTAGAAAGATTAGGAGAGAGAGAGAGAGCTCAGGGATCAACATGGTGGTGGGGATCCTTTAAGAGTATTTGTCAAGTCTATTTGCAAACACGGTTGCTTATTAGCGCAGAAACAAGCCTGCAGACTTCCTCTGTTCTTGCGGCCACCTGTCAGCCTGTTAGCATGCTGGCAGCAGAGCAACGGAGTGGGAGCGCCTGGCAGATACAACTAGGTCACCTGCTGTTTACTCTAGCCTTGCGCCTCTGACTGGTCACCATGCTGGGCTAATGTTTCACCTGTCCAAAGAGCAGACAGAGGGGGGGGTGTTAGTTTAACCCCACAGGATCCTGATCTGAAGCTAGTAGATATGAGAGCTGTCCTCCCGGCGTGTGTTATGCAACGATTTGTCACATTCTTTCCAAAGATGAAGACCTCTGTGAGTCAAATCAGATGATCTGCATGGAAAACAGCAACACACATGCTTCTGAAAAATGATTTAACTTGGAAAGCACAATAAAAAAACTAAAAAGTAAGATGGTGTTTCTTTTTCTCACAGGGATTTTCTGTTGCTGCTGCTGCAGCAGGGGGGCTTTCTTTGAATTGGCTCAACTCCAGACCGGCTGGGCGTCATTGGCAACAGTCGTGTGTTGTCTTTAACTATGTCAAACCAGTTCCTACATGCTTATTCCCTATTGAAACTCATGTCCCAGTGTGTGTGTGTGTGCGCGCGTATGTTTTTAAGAGAGTGTCACGCTAAGGGGAAGAAAATAAACTATTCACTCAGAGGGCTTTTGGGGCTGGCAGAAGTGAAAATACATTATGCAATCCAGAACAGGAAACAGAGGGAGGATACAGGCAAGGGTGATCTGCAAATTTTGTCCTGTTATCACATAAGTACTTCAGGTAGGATACTGGCCATGAGGGTTCAACTGTTTCTGAAACAAAAAATAGTTGTAAATCAGCATTTTCTGGCTCAAAAGTAGTGTGATAATCTACACAACTCTAACAACATATTCCTGTCATCCCTTATTCCCCAGAACTTTGACAAAATCAAGATTTTCTTGATAAGTTTTACATGCAGTTCCCTAGAAACCAGGTTTCGCTGTTCCCACTCCACAGCCCCATAATTTGGTCCCAGCTTTAGATGGAAAACAACATCAACTCTCAGACCCACATGTTTTTCCAGAATAAATCCAGAGACACCACACAGTTTTAAGCCAGAACATCTAAGTTACAAAACAGCCTGAGCTCAAACTCTTCCCCCGCGCCCTGAGAGAGCGAGACAGAGAAACATATGGACCGATTGGATTTAAGCAGCCAGTCTGAATTTTTCGGGAGAATCAAGGCCAGGACATCTTTCCTGCATTGCCTCCATATAGTTTTAAATCCATGGGCGTCCATCTGCAGGAACAATGATTGCTTCCCTAATCTTTGGGAACTCACTTAATCTGTCAAATCCCTGGTTCTGAAATATCAGCAGAGCAGCAGCAGCAGCAGTAGCAGCAGCAGGCCTGTTAGACTAAGCTGACACAGACCTACATTTTCAGATTGTAAAAGATATCAAAACGTGGGTTCTACAGTAAAGTGGAGGGTGAGGGGATCAGGGTGCTTTTTTAGGGGGGATCACGCTTACAAAAACATCTCCAGTTCAAGCAGCTGTTCCTTTTTCTTGCGTGACTGATCCTTGTTTATGACTAAATTAAAATCATAAACATTAACATTAACTCATAAACAATCAACACATCAAAAAAGGGAAAGGTAGTTTTAGCTTGATAGAGTGTAAAAAAGCAGAGCTTATTGACTCCAATTTGTGTCTACATTTTCTATATTTGTTTGCTATTTGACAGAAATTTTACACATTTTTTGCAGCAAGGTTCTAAAGAATTAAAAAGAAGAATATTTACTTAAAATTTGCACCGCTTTTTCCACAAATACCTGCTGCTTCAGTGTTTTTGTGCCTGTGTGCCTCCAGTCTGTGTCACGTGTGAAAAGCATGTTGACCTAAGATCAGGTTCGCCCACCTGTTTATATGCTTCTCCTCAGACTTGAAGAAAATAAATTAATAAAATCTGGAAAGAACAGCATTTACACATACAATAACACAGTTTTATGCCAAAAAGTAAGAAAAAGCATTATCCAATTTAAAGTGCCGTGTTTTGCTGTGTGAGCTGGGTTGTTTTTTGTGTTTATAGGTCCAAAAAAAACTAGGATTTTAACAAAAACAGTCACTTTAAGTGAGACTATAATTTTGAGGCGATTCACCGTCAAACAGGAAAAGCAACATGTTCAGACATGCAGGAAAACTATCAACTGTCAAGGACGCGCCAGGCTTTTTAGAAAACAAAGTATTTCAAAACAGAAACCTACCTTTTGGTTTTATTTCTGATTGTCCAAAGTTGAAAACTCCACAGAAAAAGGTCCACAAACTTTCTCTCCTTTCTTTTCAAACAGCACTATTTGTTGCAGTGACAGAAACGTTGCTTTGTTTATAATGTGCGGCGCAAGGCGGATGTATGAGGGAATTTTTATAAAGCCTGAGGGGGTGTGCAGCCCGGCCCACTTTCCCCCGTCGCTCTCTCTATTGGGCAACAGCAGCTGCGGCGGAGTGATAACACGGCTTGACTCCTTCCAGCGGTTGCAGCATGAGGAAGCGGCTGACAGTGCTTCGTGGGTCTAATGTTGAGAAAGATTGATCAAAATCACTCGCGTGGTCTTATCAAACTGCTTTTTACACTCACTTTAAGTTTCTCGTGACTTTTTAATCACTGTGAAGTTGTTTCCAGGATGAACTTTTGCTTTCTTTTTCCTAAGAAATACTCATCATAGGGTGTGGCAGTTTTTTTTTCACGTAGGTGCTGACTCAACAGTTTGCGAGAACTCAGATATATCATATTTCAACGTTTTCTAACACCCCCTCTGTCTGGCCTCTAGTTTCACTCTTTATAGTTTACTCATGATTTGGTGCTATTTATTTTGATGTAACTATTGTAAGGACAAAAGGAGAGAAGAGGTCTCCTTCAAACTTGAAGTCATCTCACTTGGAAGTCTCTCAACAGCTGACTTTTGTAAAATATGCTTTAGCCATTGTCAGCCGACTGTATTCAGCCGAGGGGCGAGGAATGCAGCCAGGCCTGCAACCTTGATTTGAGGCCAAGAGCAGATAAGTGTGTACAAAGGGAAGCCCTTCCCTCTGCTTGAATCACACCGCTTTTCCTTGATAGCCCAGAGCCATTGTCTAATCACAGCTTGTCTTAGAAATGCAATAATCAATACTGCAAAGGCAGTTTTCTGTGCTGATCTTTCTTCCAAGGACAGCATGTGAGATGCGGTATCTTGCAACAATCCCCTCTACAAGTGACTTCGAACATATCTAATCTGCTATAATTCCTGTGTTGAATGGTCTCTTTGTAGTTTGGCACCTTTTAACAGCACACGGCACATGCAATCTGAGTGCTGAGATTATGCAAGCGCAAGCCCCAGTCAACTTCTGAGCGTTTTGATTGAGCCTCCATCCATTAGTTTACATACTGAGCGTGGACTGTCCATGGAAAATTACCACACCTGCAAGAGTCTGACTGTTGCACTGTGAATCTGCCAATAAGTGCTAGTATTGGCAATGAGTGTGTGAAAGGTCCTTGTTAAGACACAATAGACGCACTGTGGGCTTGTAATGTGAGGCCCTCGATAGCAACACATCGGACAATAGGCGCATTGGAGGGGAAAAATATAACCACTATGCTAATTTCAGGTCAGTCACATGGGGAGCATCGCTGATGGACAAAAGTCATATAGAAATATCCTTACAGCTTTGGTCTGTATTAAGAACAATACATGGAGAGAAGCCACTTGTGTGTGGCATCATAGCATCACAGTGTAGCAAAGATAGTGTGTGCAAGACTGCTGAAGAGAGAGATTTGGTACAGCATATGTGGGTCACAGATATCTCCATGTTTGATAAAGAGAAGTGGACTTTCACCTGGCTGATTGCAGTGTTTCAAAAGGCATACAGGGGCAGAGATCCTCAAGTCATCAATCAATTATGGGCTCCACCCCCAAAGAAGTGGTATTTGGTTATTGTGTCATAAATACATTTATACGCCAAGGACACAATGAGCTCATACAATCCAGGGTCAGAGCATGTAATAGGTCAGTCTCAAAGAGCAAGATACACACTGACACATAAAAACTCACTAATTCTTTTTTAAAGATTATTTCTGTAATTAGGCGTCATATCTAAAGTACCTAACAACAGTTAAGGATTTAGTCTTTAAAGAGTTGTGTTGGCTTCAACTTTTAAATACTTAATTCACCTTACGTTTTAATTATTATCCCCTGTGCAAGACTGCTGAGAGTTTTTTTGTTTTCTTCTCAAAATCTCACGGCAAAACTACTGGAATTTATTAGACTTTGCAAAGGATGCTGAACAGAGCTGCAAAATCTGCACAATCATCCGATCATCGATCACATATACTTAAAGTCTCTACCTTTACATATTATGCAAATGTGCAACCAAATAATGCAACCAGAATGAGTGTGTCAGCTAAGACTGATGAGTGAATGGTGAATAATAATTGGGCTTACATTTGTCAAATTTAACTCATAAAGAATTGTGAATCTTTTTCTCTCATTGCCTTTCTAGGTGATTACAGCATTATTAACATGTAAATTTCTCATTTGCAATCATGAACATTGCTCTGCATCTTCATGAATGTATGTCAGTTTTTTTTTCAAATTTATAAGCTCACACCTGAGACAATGACTGATACGCACATCACAAAAAAACTCCTTTCCAACTTCTGTTTTAATTCTTCATCATTTAACTTCACTGCCTTTTTGGGGGCTTTGAATATGAAAGCATAGTTTTAAATTGAATGATCTGGGTATTAAAGTGAGCATTAATGAAGCTAAAGGTCATGATTTGAATGTTTTTGGTTCCTCTTGTATTGTTCTCCTTCTACCTCTCCCACCAAAACAGCCAAGTGTTCGTCATGTTCCCTTAACTTCAAGTACATCCAGTTGTAGCGCAATCTGGAACCGTCTCCTGCCCTCGTGTTATCGTGTCTATGCTGTATGCCAATCGAGGTCATCCAGTTTAAGTTTATTTGATTTGGAAGTTCATGACCAGGCCGCGCTGCTGTTCGAACAGTAGTTAATAACAGACAGAGTGTGTAGCACTGAAGTCAGCTCATCCCTCTTATTGCCTGTGCTGTCTGGAAAATGTATTTGAATTAAATATGATCTAGTGTACATTTCTCGACAGCTGCTTGTTCCTTATCACTATTCATTGAACATGCCCATCCTAGAGTCTGTGTGCAGCATTCCTCAGAGGTGGATTCAACCTGTTAAATTAGCCGCTGTGATGAAACAAGTTGAAACAAGCCTGTGTGATTCAGACCCTCATGACATGAAGTGTGTTTGAGGTCACGTAGTAGAAAGTGAAGGAAATGTGAATTTGTGATTCATGGAGAAGGATTGCCTAAATTATACAGTCTGTGAAAAGCACAGCAGCCCAAATGTTGAGATAGCCTTATAACAAGTGGGAATTCAGACCTTTGGGACAAATCTTTCAAACTTTTTTTAAAGATTGGTTACCATTTAGTTTCACTCATTGTATCATGGATGAGTTATTACAAGCAGCATGTAGCCCACATGTATTTTGGATACCACTCTGTGTGTTAAAAACAAGGAAAACAGGTACTAGCTTTGATGTAAACACGAAAAGCTATTGTTTGTTTAAAGCTCCCGTCAGGAGTTTTTTTTTTGGTGTTTATGAAACAGGCTGAAACTCATATTGATGTCTTTTTATTACAAAATAAAGCATTTTTTAATGTCTCAAACTGGTGCAAAGGGGGTAGGTGTCAGCCAAGCAGCCATAGATACAGCTATAACTAACAATTTCTAGATAAATTATCTACAACAAATGATGCATTTCGTTGTCAAAAGGTAGCAGGATTATTATTATTTTTTTTTTTCTTTTTTGGGGATAAAGCATGTAGAAAACAAGAAAAGCAAAGAATACTTAGTCCACAGGGCAGTAGATGTTCCAAAAGTCACTCAATCCAATCTGCTGATTCCCCACTAAGACATGTTTTTTTCTACTTATATGTGTTAACAGCCAAAAGAAAAAGAAAGATTAGCCATTTTACCATTTTTCTTGCTAGCGAACCATAGACTGGCCCTTTCTTCACATAAAGCTAACCAATACGAGATGTCATTATCAGGCTTTCTTACTGATTGCCTGACTGTGTCAAAAACTTGATTCTGATTGATCAAAACCAAGCAGCAACCTCTAGAATTAAGAAATGAAACATACGTGGAAGTGCTAAAAAGTGCAGTTCTCCCCATGTCAACTAGGGGTTGGCTGCAAAAGCACCAGGAACCACAAACACAATAGGTCTAAGAAGCACTTTTTTAGTGCAGAAATTAAGTTGTTTACAGTGACGAATCAGAAACATGGCTGGCTCGACTGACTCGACTGATAGATGTGCACACTTTAGCTATTTGTGAGAAAGCGAAAGGCCCACCTCTGGTAGGTCAGCTGAAAGTGAAGTTGAGTTAGTATTATCAAAATAATGACCATCGCCAATGGGCTTTCACATGCACGGTTAAAGTCACCAACACTGCACAGACTTTGGTCAAACTCAAATTTCATAATTTATTCTTAACAGATAGCAACATCCAGATCACAGACATGATAAAAAAAATCACTCCATGAGAGCAGTGACAAAGCTGGAGGATGGATGAAATCTGATTGGCCACCACTCCGATATCCAAAACCATAATTAGCTTTATTCCTTGCCTGAGGCGACATTCATACTGAGGGGATGTTTACACGGAGAGTTATTCAATACAGAACAGTAAACTTTTGTTTCATTTTGGCTTATAGAGAATGTTTTGAAAACCTCAGCTGGAAAAAGTTTGGAAAATGAAAACTTTTAAAACTAAGTTCATGAGAGGCATCTGTTGAGACATCACCATAATATCACTAAGTGAACTAGCAACTGGAGGAACCTCTGAAAATAGTGATGTCCCAGTCTAATACACACATGCATATTATTTTTTCAATCGAATAGCTCAGTGCAAGTAGGCAGACGAAGAAATCAATTATACTGTGCCAGAGTTAATGAAAATTATCTGTGGAGTTCCACAAGGTTCAGTTATTGGCCCCTTGTTAATTCTCTGACAATGTAAGTTTGAGAGAAATTTTCAAATTATTTAAAGAGCTTTTTTGTGTAGGGTTGAGATGAAGTTAGAATTTTACAAAACTTGGTTTGGTGTGAATAGATTTTCTTTTGGTATAAAGAAGTTTAAATTTGTGGATTTCAGGAATCAAAATAATGCAAATGGAAATAAACTATTACAAAATTGTGATGATAAAGAGTTTTTGCAACTAAATTTTTGGGAGTTTTGGTCAATCATAAGTTAACATGGAAACAACAGGTTAACTATATCAAAGGCAGAATTTCAATGATGGCTGTAGTACTGTTTAATCTGGAAATGTGTGAACTTCATCGGGCTTCCATGTGATCTAGTGTACCCTTATTTGTTCTTACATGTCTTATTTTG